CTCCCTCCCTCCCTCCTCCTCCTCCCTCCTCTCCTCCCTCCTTCCCTTCCCACCCTCCTCCCTCCTCTCTCTCTCTCTCTCTTGCAACTCACAAACCTGTCATCGTTGATGAGCTGTACGGTAGTGATGGACGCAGCGAACCTGTCTCCGACTATAACTCGCAGCAGACGTCCGCTGCCGACGCTCCACACGCGCACGCGTCCGTCTGCGCATCCACCCACCGCCACCAGGTGGCGCAGCGTTACACACCTGACCACACTGCGGTGGGAAAACCAAGTAGAATGTTTATTTTTCCTTCAGTGTGGGACATGGAAAGCGGAAGCGTCAGCTTGAAAGTCCAGGAGCTGCATGCAGCCACGGCCGTCGTCATCACCGCGCATGCGTGGATCGTCGGTCTGAGCACGGGCGTGGTCAAGATCCGGGACTTCCTACGGGCGGACGGCGCCTGTAGGAAGGAGCTGACGGGAGGACACAGAGGTGCCGTACGCTGCCTGGCCGCCGATGACCAGTTACTGGTCAGCGGGGGTCAGGACGGACGGCTGCTGCTGTGGAGCATGGCGGGCAGCGCACGGAAACCGCTGCACACACTGAGCAGTCCGAGGTAGGTGCGCGCACACACACGCACACGCACGCACGTAGGCGTACGGACACAGACACACATGCACGTCCATACACAAGCGCGCACACGCACACACACACGCGCACGCACTCACGCGCACGCACTCACGCGCACGCACTCACACGCACGCACGTACGCATACCAACGTACGGGCACAGACACACATGCACGTCCATACACACGCGCGCACACGCGCGCACACGCACGCACGCGCCGCGTACGTACGCATGCGAACGTAGGGACACGAATACACAAGCATGCACACACACTCGATTGTCAACAAAAACGTTCTCACCCACTACGGCTTCGTACGCACCTCTCAAGAGATGTCTCTCTCTTTTACTTCCCGCTTGAGATCGTTACCAACTCGCTTACGCTATGACCACCCTCGCCCCCTTGTTGCCCCAATTTCGAGATATGCATACGCTTTAGGGGGTAAATTATAGAGGAACAGATATTACGTTGAAGAATTCTTACCTTGTGTTTCTCTCGCGAGACGTTTGCATTATATGTATATACATATGACGTCATCTTTCTTGTCCCCCCGCAGGTTGTGGAGTCTGCGTGGCGGTGACGTCACACGCGTTCTGCGTGCGCACACGGGCGCCGTCACGCGGCTCGCCGTCTGCGCGGGAAGGCTGCTGTCGGCGTCTGCTGACAGGACCTGCCGAGGTGCGGAGCGCCACCCAGCGGCGGGATGGTGGTTACGTGGCGCCACGTAGCGGTGGGGTGGGGAAGGTTGTGGTTATGTGGCGTCACGTAGCGGCAGAATGAAGCTTGCGGTGCTTATGTGGAAATACGGAGTTTTAATGAGAAATACCAGGGGATATCGCGTTCATAAACACTCAAAACGTTGGTAATAAAACTAAATCGTATCTATGACTGCAGCAGCGTTACTGGTGGTCGTTTTTTGAGAAGAGAGTTGTTGAAAGTTTGTTGCGCCACCATAGTTTCACGTTCATGTTTACATTCGTGCTTAGATTCAATAGAGAGCGCATGAAGGCTGTACACATCAGTACGTCCCAGCAGCCGCTGCTACTGGCTGCGATAACAGAGAACAAGAGAGTTAAACTGGTAGACGTGGGGACGGGGAAGGTGCGCAGGTGCGATATGAGGGGCCATCAAGTGCAATGCGTTCACCTTCACGAGGAGAAAGACCTGATCATAACGGGAGGCTGTGATGCAAGTATACGGTGAGAACCCCATTACCACAATACGGTAAGAACTCCCGTCCCATTCCAAGTAAGCGGTTTGGGCTAGTGGGTTTCTAGAAAACCCACTGTCAAATCGAATCCACTTTATATTGTATATATATATATATATACATGTACATGTATATAATTATATATATATATATATATATATATTTATTTATATTAAGCCACTTTAGATTTCATTTATTAGCATTGTCGATAAGGCCGTCTGTATTTAATATTACAATATATTACAATACATTATATTATATTGTATTACATTATATGTTATGTGAGGCATATAATCGGCAGGTCGTGGTTTTATCTCCACCTTCTATAATTCTTGTAATGTAATATAATGTAACATAATATAATATAATATAATATAGTATAATATAATATAATATAATATAATGTACAATGTAGTATTATATCTAAAATATAACATATAACTAAAAGGAGATAAAACAAATTTGTTTTTATTCACTCCTGACATAATATAATATATATCATATGATCATATTATATGATGTAATATATAATATATGTTATATGCTTGTATGCATGCCTCGTAGTAAACGGACTTGTATGAACGTCAAACTAGAACTACGAATTATTGTCACTGCACGCGACCCCCGCTTCTCTAACATGTGGCAGTCGCTACCTTTTGCCGATAGGTGTCACTATGTACGGTGAGCAGACGATGTGATGGTCGTGCGGTGACATAGCCGTCGGATCTGCTGCTTCAGACAGAGACGCCCCCTGGCGTCCTTCCCAGGCGGCTGGTGGTTCATCGTCTGGCAGGGCTCCCTATGGGGTGAACCGGTAACCGACATAACAAGAAATGAGGATACTCTCTCTCTCTCTCTCTCTCTCTCTCTCTCTCTCTCTCTCTCTCTCTCTCTCTCTC